AAGACGTCGACCGACGCGGCCAATCGACGGAAAGGCGCGGGACAAGATTATAAAACCAGCCCCCACCACAGCAAAACAAAGTAACCAAAGCTCTCACATGAAGAGGTCAACACCCAACGAAATGAAAACTCAGCTCCACCAAAATTCACGAAAATGGGAACAGCTAGAGACAAAATAAAGAAAAATAACTACTAATAACTAACTACACGCGCGACCAGAAGACAGGAAAACCGAAGACTTAGCACACGTGCCATCAAAATGCGATCACCCCACGCAGCAAAATACAACCAATAGCATGGAAAAGGGCCGATCAACCCGTAAAGAGAAACCCGAGCCCGGCTCGGAGCAATGTCCCATACATAGCAGCACTGGCCCTATCAAGAAAGGGAAAACGCTATATATATCTGAGTTCTTCCTGTACTAAATCAGTTCGCTAGGAGTTCACTTGGAGTTCGCCAGCAGTTCGCAAATCCGCAGTTAACTTTCTAGTTCGCTTTCGAGTCGATAGGCAGTCGATCAGCCATAGTCGATCAGCAGTCGATCGGGAGCAATAACACGTCTCAGTCAATCAAACAAACACACTAACTAAGTAGCCATAATAATAACCCGACAAATTAATAAAAATATTAAAACTCAAATGAACAAAAAGTGTTGTGAATAGCTAATCGTTCTCTTTCAGTTTCTGGCAAAGTTCCTGGTTCTTTCCCGATAAAGTCCTCGTGAATTACAAATACCTTGTAATTCAGGACCCCTGGACGGACTGATGCATAGCAAAGCCTGAGATAGGTCCTCACAAAAGAATTGTGTGCCTTAGATCCACCTGGATGCAACGGGAGTTTGGAAGAATTTTGTAACTGAGTCTACAACGTTTTCCTTCGTAGGAATCCAGCGCAACTGTATACGGCTCGTGTTATCTATGATCTCACCAACTCTATGCATAACGAAGGATTGAAATTTTCGAGGGTCCATAGTTAACCATTGAAGAACGCTTTTAGAGTCGGACCAGTATGTGCTTGAATTAATTCTAAGTCCTCGAGTGCTAGTTCCACTCCCATTACGGCTGCCAAAAGTTCCATGCGTGGTATTGAGACGGGTTTCAATGGTGCGACTTTACACTTGGCTGCAACTAATACTCCTCTCTTTATGCGAAGGTAGGTGACTGCGGCATAGGCGTCTTGACTTGCACCTACGAATGTATGCAAGTCGATCTAGTCTGCACTTGGCAGCAGGTATGAGTAGTAGCGAGGGAGTTCCAGTTCTCCAGCTTGAAGAAGTACGCTTTTCCATTGTGTCCAAAAAATGAGTGTATTTGGAAGCTCTTCGTCCTATGTTATACCAGCTCGCCAGAGTTTTTGGCTAGAGTTATGTGAAAAAAGGAAGCGATAGCTCTGAAAAAAGCATTAAAAAAAAATAGAAATTTTCAAAAATTCCATAGAAAACAAAAATATCATTAAACCACTTCTTAGCCCAAAATCTTTAAGAAAAAGTTGGTTTTGTTCCTTGAGGAAAACTCGTGTCGACAGCTACAATGATGCAAGGAAATATGTCAGCTTATATTAATTGTTCCTTGGATGCTCCATCCTAGTGTACACTTCGATTTACAGGGTACTGCCAAAGTCCAGTTATTGGCACCAATTAGCAGCATTGGTTGTGCGTTTGAGTACGATTTTATTGGCAACCCTTATAGGTGGGAATATTTGTTGCACAGTTTGATGACATCGACGCTTTGTTTCGGTAGCGCGAGATTTTTGACTGAACGTACCTTATTGAGCCATAGAATTTTTTGGCTTCCCAGTTCTGATACTTTAATGTGAGCTCTAGCGGATGTATTCTCCATTCGAGTGGTTTCGCTGGTCCATTGCAGGCAAAGAGGATCGGGAGTCGAGGAAACCTGAAGAATTCCCATAATGCTGTCATCAATAAGTGTGACGGATGAGCCTTCATCCAAAAAGGCGTAGGTGTCAAACTTAATTCCGTTTCCGTGTAGTGTGATGGGCAAAGTTCGGAAGCATTGTTCTTCTATGCTGCTTTCCTTAAGGTGGACACTGACGAGTTCGGCCATGGGTGCTTCTCTATGAAGAAGTGGGTGATGCTTAGATTGGCAGTTATCGACGCCACAATCTCGTTTAGAGAAGGTTAGGTTCTTCAGACATCTATAGCACGCCTTGGTGTCGTTGATAATGTGCTGTCTCTCCTCGACGGTCAACATCTGAAATTTCTCGCACCGGGCGGCAGGGTGCTCGGCGGACTTGCACATTACACAGATGAGAAATGAAGGAGCTTGTTGTTGCTGATCGCCCCAAGAAAATAAGCCCCAAGAGGTTTCTCCTCTGGTTAACGGATTGGGATCAATGGTAAACGCAATAACATGAAATCAAGATGCATGGCATGCAGAAAGAGGAGGATAGGAAGCTGCACGATAATATAAGTACACAGCAAAACATGGACAATAAGTTCATTATAATGTTTAAGAACTTAACACAACGTATTAATGAAGAAAAGGTTAAAGTGAACTCCTTCATAAATAAATATAAGAATGGTATAAGTAAATCATTTGTCAAGGAAGACAAGAGAATTTATAGGCTAGAATACATTGACAGGTTTTCGGTCACAATGGAAATGAATTAATGATTTAGCGGAAAGCCTACTTTTAGCAAGGGTAGGAATAATTCCTAAATTCATATTTAATAAGGAATAATTGCAAAGAATTACTTAAAACTTAGAGGACCAAAGAGTTCAGAAATTTCTAGAGCTAAATGCTATAATGAACAATACAGACATAATCAGCCAGTCTACGGTTTTCACTTTCACAAAAAAATGTGATTTACTTTTCAAATCGAAAAATTTCAAAATCCCGCACTTTTAAAACTCAGGACTTTTCCGTTTTCAAAACGGCAACAAATTCCTCGCCGAAATGAAAAGAAAACGGCTTTTTATGCAACGAAACAAACAATGTCTGATGAATGGAGATGCAGCGGAGTGCGAGACAAGGGATATAAAATTCCGCAGCGAAATTTTCGAACCAGAAAAACCTTCAATGGCGAGAACGTTAAGATACAAAAGGAGTGCGAATCAAAAGAGATATGTAGCGGGTCAGCGATGATAATTTTCAACGAATGCGGAGCAGTGGTCAACAATATCCAATACGAGGCATTGGAGCAACTAGCAACTGTAAAACTGAAACTGGAAATTCCCCAAATAAGGTCAATGAAGAAAAACAGAACAACTCAAGAATGGGGAGTCCACGATATAAAGATGTAGGACATTAAGACTAACATGGATATCGGCAAAATGCGAACCGGAATGATGATACACGCAACAGCAAAGTATGCTGTCGGCTGAGTACTACTGGTGGGTGTGTTATGCTCCGCTTGACTCTCAAAAATTACGACCATCTACGCAGCGACTACGCCAACTGCTACTGTCACCCCAACTCCCACCTTCACACAAACCATACCACCATTATGGTCTGTAGTTCTGACTAAGGGAGGAGGAGTTACCACCTCAGCACCTACCCTCACACTGGCCCCCACGAAACCCCTTCGACTAATGTATCACGACAAACATCAACAGCGTCGACGCTGCAACAAAGTTGGAGCTGATCCATCGATCCATATGATGCATCTACATCAAAATCTGGCTGCTAAAGCTTTTCACAAAAAAACGAAAAGTTTTGTTGCATATATGTACATATGTACTTACCAATTTTTGAAGATCCAAACTTGAGGTTGGGTAAAAAAAAAAATTTATATTAAAAAGGGAGCACGAAGTCAATCGGAAATCGGAGCCTGCATTAATAGGTACAAAATTTATAAATTTGACGAGGCGGAGATATACGAATGATATGTCATTACCATATAAACATGGGAATTCTTCCGAGGTCACTGCAAATCCTTAATATACTATTGCCAAATATCAATCAAAATAGACCACTTCAACACATTCACAAAGTACTAAAATCATAGTTATAAAAAACGAGAAGGAACGTGTGAGTAGCTTCTGTGGACGCGACTTTACTTTTATACCCCTACTCAGTCAGTATATAAATTTGTGAGCTTAAGATTTATGTTAAATTTTAAAAATTTTTATATTTTTTACATTTTTTTCTACATCTCTTATATACAACTACATGTATAAAGTCGACTACACATCTAAAATGTAAATTTTACATACACAATGTAGCTTCTACATCTTCTCCAAAAAGGTCGCGCACTGCACAAGGCAGAGTCTGTGCGAGCGGGAAAGAGAATCAGTAGCTTCAGCAGCGCTGAATGAGGTGGGGGTAGCCACTGCAAATCAATTTTTTCATTCCGACTATAATAGATATGGTAGATGGTATCATTCTCTACGATACTGCGTTTTTTGTTTTCTCGTACCTTCAAAATTGTGGATGCGACAGATTTTCGTCCTCTCCCAGCAAACCAAACTCTCGCAAATGATATCGCATACGTGTCAAATGTAAGACTTAACCCGACAAAATGCTCGCATTTGGACTCACAATTTTGGAAGGGGCGGGGCGAAATTTTGAAAAACACTTGTAGCAGTGTGATATCCCATGAGTATGAAAACAAAATAGGGTTGCTCTAGCTCTTATAGTCTCTGAGAACTAGGCGACAAACAAGACGGACAGACGGACATGGCTATATCGACTCGGCTATTGATGCTGATCAAGAATATGTGCATATACTTTATGGGGTTGTTTCCTTCTCTCCGTTGCACACATCCACTTTTACCCCCCGGGCGACGACCAATTTTTATAAGAGAGATATAATTTGCCGTATGTATCACAAATACCTGTTGGTGAACCAATAAAACCCCAACCATAAAACTATGCCGGTAGTGAAGTGTAGTGGAATACGTCCATTTCAGGAATACCATATACCGATAACTTTCATTCCATACAATTCAGCTCATATTTGTGTTATCGAGTATTTTGCTGCACATGGATATTCCAATTTTGAATTTCCAAATACAGTATTTTAATTTTTTGTTTCATAGTGTGCGGTGTTTTTGATTTGTAGAATTTCGGAAAAAATCGTTATTTACATTTATTAAACAAAAATATTGAAAATTAGTTACTATTTTCTACAGAGTTTTCATTAGTGTTGAATCATATCATTTAGGTAAGCTAATATTCATTTTTTATCTTTACCATATAATCGAGGATATAATCGTGTTTTTAGGTTGGATTTTCTGCAGCCTTGTTTGGAATATGTGCCATTGACCAACATACATATGTACATTGATGAGTGGAGTTCCTAAAAGAAATACCACAGCGAACCATACCATAGCGCGGCGTTTATCAGACTTCCACCACACAGTGTCACACAACAAAAGTTAAGGTCACTTACCTTATATCAAGTAAGTTTTTGTATATTTGACCTGATTATAGTTTGGAATCGATGACTGACTTAATGGTAACCAATAATATCAATTAAACATACATATCAAATTGTGCTAATTGTACATAGATTAGATTATCGGCGATGATTTTACATTATTTGATTCACAGATATCTTAATACCAAATTATAAATATGCTCCAATAAATCATTCACATTAATTAATTTTAGGAACAAAATATGCGCATAAAAGATATATTTATATATTGATTTACGGCATCAAAGGACAGCCTATTGTTCCTACGTGGTTATTTACACGTTTTCTTTCGCCTCATAACTATACGACTACAATTCGACATGCGTAACAACAGCGATTATTATTTGGAAAATAATGTACATTTTAATAAAAACAGTACCAAGAAAGAAAAATCAGCACCACGTTACTGTAGTGTGGACAATACATTTAACTATTACAATAAATCAAACATAAGTGGTCCTAGCTGTCTACTAGCAAACCAAGAAATAACAAAGGAGGCCGTTCTCAAAAAAATATCCAGATCGAACTGCCGTCAGACACCTGCCAATTGGGCGCTTAAATCTGCGTGCTGTTCTGATGTATTTACAAAGTCACTTTGCGATCAACGAAGTAATATCAGTGGTGCGTTATCAAACAAGAGTCGAGGATATGTCTACCAGCAAGTTCGTCAAGCAGACGAATATTTAAATGGTACACAGCACAACATGCTTTTATATAATGCGGGCAAAGATCAACCGAGGGCGCTAAAAACAGATATTTTCGAAGAACAGGAACAAAAGAACTGGAAAGAAAGAATAACTCGTAGAACTGAATATCTGGAAAATATACCAGACAGAGATAACAGCCTAAATTCTCATTCGCCAGAGCCAACATGGGATTCTATACTGTAATTTTGAAATTGATTTTCTGTTATTGTCCTGCTTGTAATTACATTCCTCCAATACACGCACACACTATTATTTCGTTGGGAATTGTCCACTTAATATACGCTGAAAAATCCTAGACCAGAAATATCTTCGAGTAAAAGTAAATCTTTTGAATGCACACACATTTCCAAACATACAAGCCACATATACAAATAAATGTATATACACATACATACACATACATATATGATGTTCGCTAAATTCTCAAATATGCATTCATTTTGTGAAATTAATGTCACTTGCTTTTATATATATATTTCAGATCAGAAGTACCTACGCAGCACCATACGACTAACCAGCACTACGAACACTATTTTTCATATTTTTATAACCGTGGAACTGAAAAAGTGTCGAATCTTCCCTCAGTCACAAGTAATCGAAATTTGCCAATGACTGAATTTAAAAACTCCTTAAGTCGACGAGACTTGCGAGACGTTAACGCGACCACTACCGGGCAAAGAGAGCCATTAAAGGGAGCGGGATGTCATAATTCGACGTTCGAAAAACACATACTAAAGGAAAAATTACCCAGTAATTATTTGTGTAAAAATTATAGTGACAATGGATGGGGAGAAGCTGAAGACTATCATGAATCAATGCTGAAGAAGGCTGGTGAAGAATATCTTGATATGAAAGATTTATATGACTCCGAGGCTATAATCGAAACTCAATTCGACCCGGTACATCGGCGCCTTAAATTGTCTGAGAATAGTGCTATAGATTCATCAGGAGTTGATTCAGCCAATAACAGTGCAAGTAAAAACGAACCTTTAGATGAGTCGCCACCATGTTTTCCCACGAACCAAAAAAGAATCAAAGGAACTATAACTTCCGTTAAAAAGTCATTGCCCACTGTTCACAGAGTCTTGTTGTACAGTACTCAAAGTCCGCGAATGGGGCGCAAGCAACAGTTCGCGACACATCGCAATTTAAACTTAAAAAACCAAATCTCCAAAACGCTAGAACCCGAAGACACTCGTCTTCCCACTGTTCTATTAGTTGAGCCTGAATCTAAAGATGAAATATATCAAAGTCACACAGACTCTGATCGGAACCCTGATTTCAACGATGACGACGACTTGGACAATAGTAAGTACATATATTCAAAGCTAGTTACTTTCATGTGATATCTCTTTTCAATGTTAAATTATTAGTTTCAAATTTCGACGAAAGCGACACAGAAAGCTTGATCTCCGACGCTGAAGATGGCTACCGGGCTCATGCCTATAAGCTTACGCATTCTGTTGATAGATTTTCATCCCCCCAAAGCACACCAAGCTTGTCGGCTCAGTCTTCAGAATATGACCTTAAGAATCCAGAGTCGCTCCTGGTACCCAGTTTATTTCCCTATGTACCACCGTATTTGTCGTTCTCATCGAACACATCAAAGGGCCCAAGTGTTCCGCCGGAGCTTCATAGAGTGCTCAAGTGGCGGGTTACCAACATAATGCCAAAAGTTGTGCGCCTGATTTTAGCCAACAGCGGAATGCGAATGTTAAAGAGTAAGTTATATTTGTACTTCATTATAATCAAATTAAAAAAATTAATTAAAAAAATTAACAGAAACCAATGATTGGATGGGAGTGTGGGGCAAGCATTTAAGGTCACCGTGTTTCAAGACCATCCGTTCATATCAGAAAATAAACCATCTGCCTGGCTCCTTTCGTATCGGCAGAAAGGATTCCTGCTGGAAAAATTTGCAAAGACAGATGAGCAAACACAGCAATAAAGAGTTTGGCTTCATGCCGCGGACATATATTATCCCCAACGATCTATGTGCATTACGCCGTCATTGGCCAAAATACTCACAGCGTAATACTAAGTGGATTATCAAGCCACCGGCCAGTGCACGAGGGGCTGGTATTCGCGTTATTAATAGATGGGGACAGATCCCAAAGCGAAGACCACTTATTGTGCAAAAGTATGCCAAACAATGAACAGAAATATTATATCTAAATAATGGTTTTTTGTTGATTTATAGGTATATAGAACGTCCGCTACTTATTAATGGTAGTAAATTTGACTTGCGTCTCTATGTCCTCGTTACTTCCGTAAACCCGCTGAGAGTTTTCATGTATCATAACGGCTTGGCTCGATTCGCTTCAGGTATGTACCTTCCACAAACCCCTTAAGGAGTATATTTGATTTGATTGCTTTTCGTATCCACAGTAAAGTACAGTTCCAGGGCAGACACTTTAGGCGATAGGTGCATGCATTTGACAAATTATAGCATCAACAAGTTTTCTTCTAATTACTCAAAAAATGAAGATGTAAATGCCTGCCATGGTCATAAGTGGACCATAAAGTCACTGTGGACATATTTAGCTAACCGAGGGGTTCGAACAGACTGTCTGTGGGAAGCCTTAAGAAGTTTAGTCCTGCGGACTATTCTAGCTGGCGAGAATGGTATAAATAGTATGATTAGAGCCAATGTTGAGTCAAAATACAGCTGCTTTGAGCTGTTTGGCTTTGATGTAATTTTGGATTCAGATTTAGTTCCGTGGCTATTAGAAGTTAATATATCTCCAAGTTTACACTCTGAATTGCCATTGGACTCCCATGTCAAGGCCCCCCTTGTACAAGGTGTGCTAAACACGGCACTGTATAACGTAAGCTATAAAATTGACTTTTTAAAATCTGCATTCCCCTAACCAAACATTGTAGGTGCCTCCAAAACTATCTCAAGAGAAGCAAAAAGAACTAGCTGCGGAACTTTCATTTCCAAGTGGCACACAAATGTGTTACGATAAGCGACTCTACATAAACTATTTATCTCGCGAAGAGAAGGAAAAGCATATCACATTCACACGAAAGTCTATAGACGATAGGAATGAGGTACGGATAACTTTCAGGTTCCTTTTAGCACAAATTTTCAAAATATAATATTTTTGAATAGTACACAAACTCAATTCTGCATAAGCTAACTCCTGATGATGTTCGATGCCTCATCATTGCGGAAGATGAGTTGGCGCGATGCGCACCACTAGAACGTATCTTCCCAACGGATCAGACTCATAAGTACCTAAAATACAATGATACTCCACGATATTACAATCGTCTGTTAGATGCCTGGGAGTCTCGCTACGCAAACAATCGTGCGGAAGGCATCGCATTGTTACGCGATTATTGTCAAAACAAGTATCATCTTCAAGTTCCAACATGTCCAAACAAAAAGGTAAGTTTTTTCGCGTGATAAGCTTGGATATATATATGTACGTGTATATATGTATGTTAAAAAGTTATGGATAGGATCGGCATAATTTTATATTTATTTCCATATTTTATTTTATAATTTGTTCTATTCGTAGTCCACTTTAATTATTGTGGATATACGTATATGTATTACATATATCTAAAATATAGCCACTAGTTTTTTAAAACAATAAAAGGGATATATTAAAATCAGATTTAATATTCTTGACTCTTCTTAAATTTTGAGGGATGTTGGAGTGTTATGCAATCGTTCCTTTGGCGCTGCCGTGCTCTTTACCAGCGTAAGTTCCAACCAGATACTGATCAATCGTATCTATAGAACTCGAATATCTGTAGATACAAATTGGTAGTATACAAATAATTTGTTGCTCAAAAAGGCCTAGTTTTCATTACCAGTATATTATGGTCAAAGTACGATATGTAAATAAATAGTTTGATAAACTATAGTATTGTCTATAAAAAAGATCAATTTGTGTCAAAATGCATCGTTTTTCTTCGTTCGGACATTTGACATAAATAAAGCAGCTTTAAATTAAATTATTGAAATCATGTGTTTTATATAGTATACATATATTTACTTATTCTATTTATCGGTGCGATGTTGCCATTAACACAATTTTGTTTAGGAAAATTTGAATTCCTTTTTTTTTGTCGTTATTATATTCCAAACTTTCAATGTACACGTACACGGTTTTGCTTGGGTTAAATTTTAGTCTAATAACAAAAATATTACTTTGTTTTGGTTCTCTCGCCTTAACGCTCCTCGCAGCTGCAACACTTTCAAATCTTACCATGTCAGTTTCGCATTCTCCAAAAATGCAAAATTTGGAGCAATCATTGATAAGGCTGCTCTCATCTCTTTATTGATCGTCATCAGGAGTTCTCTTTGTTCGATTTAATAATAGTGAGAGTTGAAAATTTCAATTCTATTACCATTTGCTACAACCTACTTATGCGAGTAGGGGCATAAGTAGGTTGTAGCAAATGGTAATAGAATTGAAACAGCACGCTTCGAAAGTAAGTAATGGGTACTAATTTTTTTAATCACAGTACGGTACATTTTTTGTTTTAATTTCCGATCAGTTTTAAACTCCATGAGTTCTTCCAAGGAAAATGTTATCCGAGAATGGTTCGTACCTAGGCTATAAATTACAGATCACACTTAGGAAAATAACAGTTATTTTGATTTTGTTTGACAGGCTTCTTCAAAAATTGTTATAATCAGCCATGCTCCGGTTATCGTAAATCGCAAAAAGTTTCGAATTGACAGTTAAATCACAAAAAAGCATGTTCCGATTTTTACGATTCGAAACCGGTTGCTAATGAGCTCGCGATTTCAAAACGAATTGCACATATCACCTGATTAAAAACTTGTATGAGCGGGAAAAAAATATAAACAACTGATGATGTTTTAAGTTTATATTTATATCATTTAAAATTTATTTTCGTATATCCAAATTTGTTTAATAAATTTATTTATTATGGCACCCAAATTTTAACTAAACAAATAAAACTTAAATCTTAGTAATCAGATCCGAAAAATCAGCTCGCAAACAGAATCAGGGTTCATATTTGTATTTATTTATTTCAATTAATTAACAATTATCTGCTAACTAAGAACTATAATAGGAATATACATACTTAAAGAAAAATATAATAGAGGAAGAAAATAAAGGTTTTACAAATTTGCTAGGTTAAGGTGATGGTAAACATTACGTACAATCGTATCAAGGGATACTTCGGGAGATATTGTATTGTAAAAGGAATTGTAATTATTGCAAAGAACACGGAAAGGTTCGTGCTGCGCGAAGTTAGATCTGCAGAAGGGTAAACGGATAGGCAGGAAAGTTTGGGTTGGTCTCGAAGGAACTGTAAAATGTATCTGTCCCAAAATAGTTTGGGAGTCCACAAGCCCGAGAATGAGCTTGTGAATGAATAAGACGCCATTGCAAATTCTGCTATGGTGTAAGGAGGGTAGGTCGAGTAGTTTAAGCCTGGATCGGTATGGAGGCAACCATCTGCCAGAGTCCAAATTCAATTTGAATTTGTTGCTCTTTGTATGGAGGGATCCATACACAAGAACAGTACTCCAACATAGGGCGTACCAATGAGACGTACAGTGATTTTGTTATATACGGGTCGTCAAACTCGTTTGACCAACGCTTAATGAACGCTAGAACTTCCTTAGCTTTGTTCACCGTTAAAGCAATTTGGCTGTTAAAGCATAGCTTATGATCAAACAGGTCTCCTAGAAACTGATAAGAAATTTTTTCGGCCAAACTGTTTTCTAGGGTCTGTACGGAGGGCAGTACTCAGTTCAAGAAAAAAATATCGAAAGATACCAGAAAAGCAGCCGATGGTATTTGCTGGTATTCGTTGGTATGTTGCTGGCCGCTCGAAAAAAATATCGCTGTTCTTTCTTCCGCCAGGTACCCTAGAAAACACAAACATAAACATTTCAAAATGGGAACAAAAAACCAAATGAAATATTCAAATAATGAAGACAAATAGAATCTAATTAAGGCTAATTATTATTTTTATTAATTTTTATGAATATTAAACAAGTATTGTTTTGAAAACATGTATTCTTCACGGTGGTCGCTGTCGGTTGCGCGGGTGCGTCGCCATCTGATGCTGCTGATAGCGAGACACATTTCTTTGCCAATAAAATATTGGGGAGCCCAGTGTATGCTTGGGAAGGAGTGACCCCAACCGAAGAAGTGCACAAATTCCAGCAATCCTAAAACCTATAAACGCAGAATAAACCTTAAGAAAAAACATAAACAAAAAATTTTAAGCGCTTTAAAATGAAAAATGTTACACACACATTTAAATGCGCTTCGGGGCTGGCTGTCTCAGGATGACGCGGCCGACGAGCCTAACGCCTGAACCGAAGACCTGGGAGCCAATCCAAAAAATTCGACGGCTATAAATTTGTTGTATGAACATCCACATATATACATATATGTATAATAATATATGGTTATTGTCGATTCGCATGCGTGTAGCTTTCGGCGATAGCTTGTGGGCGAGGCGCGGCACGTGGAGGATGCTCTCCCGCGCTTTGCTTTTATAGCTCTCAGTTTTTTTCAGGTGTATTACCTTCACAAAACCTTGACTTTTTTCCGCGGCACACCAACTGATGATCACGGTACACTAGTGTGCTACTGACTGTTGCATTTAGATTATTTTTTCAAACTCCCGATGACAGAAACGGTTTTTTTTTCCATTAATTTATTTGTCGAACTTATGCGATGTGGCGTGCTTTGTTCCTCGGAAACACATTTTTTAATATTATAGAATTGTGGCCATATTAGATAACCTTCATTTAGATTTAGGATATGTTTTCATAACCAAGATAATTTGCCCTCTACTGTAATATCATTTAGGTTTACATGTTTCTTTGATGATCACGGTACACTAGTGTGCTACTGACTGTTGCATTTAGATTATTTTTTCAAACTCCCGATGACAGAAACGTTTTTTTTTCCATTAATTTATTTGTCGAACTTATGCGATGTGGCGTGCTCTGTTCCTCGGAAACACATTTTTTAATATTATAGAATTGTGGCCATATTAGATAACCTTCATTTAGATTTAGGATATGTTTTCATAACCAAGATAATTTGCCCTCTACTGTAATATCATTTAGGTTTACATGTTTCTTTGATAGAAGTGTGCTTCCAATTCCTAAAGTTTCTTATTACTTTAGGCAATTAAAAAAAGGAAGCGAAATAGTGCGGCCACTAAAGTTAGTTTTTTTTAAATTTTACTTTTCCGAGCTTTTTAAGATTTTTTGCCCTATATTAAATTAATAACACTACCCGACACTATTTTTCGGATTCCAGCCAAACCAACATTTTTGATAGATTGGGGCTTCAAAGCTTATTGATAATTTTTATACCCGTACTCAAAAAGAGTTATGTGGTATATTAGATTTGTGTTAAAAGTGGATGTGTGTAACGCAGAGAAGGAAACGTTTCCGACCCCATAAAGTATATATATTCTTGATCAGCATCAATAGCCGAGTCGATATAGCCATGTCTGTCTGTCCGTCTGTCTGTCTCGATGAGCCCCTAGATCTCAGAGACTATAAAAGCTAGGGCAACCAAATTTGGTTTCCAGACTTATGTGATATCCCACTGCTACAAGTGTATTTCAAAATTTCGTCCCGCCCCCTTCCGCCATAGAGAATGACCATATCTACCAGATTGCCGAATCTGAATCAGATCGGATCATAATTATAGCCAGAATGAAGAAATTAATTTTCAGTTGCTTCCCCTGCCCCCTCCTGCACACGATAACGCAACTCATTTTCCTTCTCGCTCGCACACTCTGCCGCGTTCAGTGCGCGAGCAATCCCTAGCGGAGAAGATGTAGAATCTAAATGGTACATGTATAATCTACATGTTAGATGTAGAATATACATAATATACATATGTAGATGTAGATAACAGATGTAGTAAAAAAAATGTAAAATTTTCTTTTTTTTATTTCTAAAATTCTAAAAAATCATATGCTCAAAAATGTAAATACTGATCGAGGACGGGTATAAGTAGAGTCGCGTTTTTAGAAGCGACTCACACGTTCCTTCTCGTTTGACCACGAGTTGATCATGAAAAACCTTGCTGATGGACGTCATACTAGTACCCAAAATTGCTCTAGGGGACCTGAAGACCTGACTTAATCATTTCGAGCACATAATCGATATTTTATAGCACAACAACTGATTTTAAATAACCTTCACGAAATTCGTCGTACAAAGTAGAATATCATGAGACAAAAATGTTTGTGTTCATTTTTGTTTTTCCTGAGCTGAACTATTCGCTTATCGCTAATCGATATTAAACGTGGTCGTAAAATACCAAACTTTTTTATGCAAATGACCATTGGGTTCTAATAAGGCTAAAAGTGAAATATAATAGAAACTTAAAGCGGCATCGAAATACAGTCACAAAAAATACAAACAATTGTAAATCGGCTGTTTCAGGGTTAGTGGCCAATAAATCGACAGCTGGTGCAATAAATTTACAAAAAGGAGACGCAACTACAATATAATGCACAGGTGGCAACAACAAAACTATTGTACCGATATAAAATGGCCCGACTTGACTTTTATGAAAAATATAAATTTTGGAACTGCAAATTTGAAAAAGTATTTTTAACGATGAGACAAAGTTTAATTTAGACGGTAACCACAGGCGCAACCATGGCTCACTCATGGTCTGGGCCGCCTTTAGCTCTCTTGGCAAGTCTCGAATGTGCTTTGTACCAGGTTGGATGAATGCGCAGATACACTAGTGGTCAAAATAAAAGGTACAGATGCATTGTGCTGATTTTTTATGAAATATCTCAAATATTTTTGAATTTATGACTGCCAGGTTAGGTTAGGTTAGGTTAACCCAGACGGCCCTCACGGGGCCACGCATAGGCCAATATGGCCCTTAGTTGTCCGGATTGGGGTGTATGAACCTTTCGAAAATATTTATGAGGTTTTGAAGTCCTTAAGGATCGAGGTGTTTTTGGCAAAGGCTAGCAGTTCCCCTGGCGTCCTCTTGGAGGCATCTTCCAGTGATGCCAGTACCGGGGCGCCCAGGTATATTCTCCTAGCCCTTGAGAGAGCCGGGCAGTTGCAGATGAGATGTTCCAGGGTTTCAGTTGCCCCGGATTCCTCGCATTTCCTGCAGTGGCCACTGTTGGTGATGCCTAGTTTGACAGCATGTGCCGCGGCCAGACAGTGAGCTGTGAGTATTCCCACCAACATTCTGCAGTCCTTCC